TGTTGCTGTTAGCGTAAACAACACGTGTTGCACACTGTCGCACTTTTGTCAACAACTTTCTTACCGCCGTCATCGTAGCTCACTCTAAATGCAAAGTGGTCCCATACAGCAGACCTATAAAGTGCTGCTGGCTCTTTCCCACTCGCCATACACACAATTCTCCACAACAACTGACCCAATACTCGTTGTTTACTACTGGTGGTTGGCTTTAGGCGCAGTACCGCCACCTTCTGCTCTGGAGTGTACACGCTTCGCCTATGAGAAAAAGGAGCAGCGCATGAACCGAACGCAACACACGCGAATCGAACCGAGACAGTTTTTATAAGCCGCTCCATCCCTAGTCTGTAGGGATTTGTCTTGGAAACTCGAGGGTCGCCATTGACAGTATGGAGTGTGGACTTCCTCCTGCACCTCCTGGACACTGTGGAGGTGCCCTTGAGCAAAGATCTGCTCCCTAAGTGGCAGCCCATCCACCATCTCTCCATATTGGCATGTGTTTGGGGTTAAAATTGATTGCACCATGATTACATGGGGCTTAATTTAACTACTTTAGATGTCATAACTAAACAAGCGGCCGGTCAACAATCACAGATAGAGTTCCCTCATCAGGGTTACGTAAAGCGCATTAGCTTTCTGGCTGGCTGGAGCCACTTGGCATGGTGGCACATGGTAGTAAGCTGGATGGATATTGACAGGACACGTCGATAAATAAGCTCTCTACTAGATAACTGTGTTGCAAAATGGCTGCAGTTAATGAAGAAGTGATGCTGTGCGGCAGAACGGAGCAGAAACGCTGCCTGTTGAAGGTGTCGGGCTGCTGCCATCCTTCCCACATCAGAACGTTTGTTTACTCAGCAGAGGAGATAATGCAAAGTGGGTCACAGAAATCACAGCTTGTTAAAATTCAGTCAACTATAAACGGCTTAGTGAGGCCGAGCCGAACAATAAACCCCAGAACAAAGTGGTTAAATGACCAATTTGGCTCTGGATGAAATAAATAAAAGATCACGTTGTGTTTCTGTCTCCAGGTTTGATGGAGAAGTCGACCAGAGACGTCATTCGTTCCACATCGGCAGTCCCAGGAAGAGACTCCAGTTTACGTCAGCGGACAGAGAAGATGGTAATATATTGGAGCTGAAAGTCGGTTAAACTTTCAGCTGCAGCAGCCCGGCAGGAGAGACGCTCAGTGGCGGCTGTTGGATTCAGATTAACGCCGTGCTCAGTTATTATCCACCTACATTAGTGGTTCCCAACCTTTTTACTTGAGGAACCTCCTTTTCTATCGTTGAGAAAACTGACGACCCCAAAAGGGACATTTTGTATAAATATTTAACATTATTTTTAACAATAATAGTACAGAACAACTGATAAACTTTAGTTTGAGTTGAATTTTAAGCAGATTATTTCCTGTCAGTAGTGATCAGAGATTAGTTTTCTCTGTATTGTGTCATTTTTACAATCATACAGACATACATACATTAGGCTTCTTTTCTTGACAAATTCAGTGTTTTCTTCTCCTTCACACTTGAATATAACTTGTGTTAAGGTCTTTAAAGTTTATATCTTATATATATTTATACCAATTTAATTTAGTCTTTTTCACATAATAAAACGAAATTCTGAGATATAGGTTTACTGTACGTATATATCTTTAAGTTTTCTCACATCCCCTAAAATTAGGACTGCTCTACACTGTGAAGTACACTCACACCTGTACAATCTAACACAATTATATGAATTCTGTTTTTATCAGTTTGACATTGTCAGAAAGTAGATCATTCTGCTTTGTTACTGAGTTTATAGTGGACGGTGGTGTTTTATTGGAGTGCATTATATTGAAAGGTGTTCATAATACCCCCACCCTCATGGTGGAAGGTGTAACTTACCTGATTCGTGGTCCTCCTCTCTCTCAGACCTCCAGCATCCCTCCGGCAGCGTGAACCCGCTTGAGGGAAACTCCCAGCTGGGCTGGGAGGAGCAGGGAGCCTGTAGTGGATCTGACCCGCAGGACTCCTACGAGGACTCGGCCCCACTTCTCCTGGACAGACTCCACTCGCTGGCTGAGGCCGAGAAACTGTTTGACGAGCTGACGCAGGAGAAACTGCAGGTGAGACGAGCCCGGCGTGACACTCGGCACATCACACACGCCGCGTTGTTTCCACCTGTCAGCCGGGACGTTTGTTATTAACTCAGCAAAGGGAATTTACTAAAAGATGATGATGTCAGTGTGTCGTTTAAAGAGTATCTGTGACACACAGGCCGAACAGCACCACTCTAATCCCCACCCGACCTCTTACGTAACATCGACTTCATTGTTTTTATTCCACTCCTAAATGACTTCTATTTATAGGAAGTTAGTATCCACAGCCCCCCCTGCTACCCCTCCCTCTGCCCTGGTCATACAGGGACACACACACACACA